AGCATGCAGAGGGGTCTGGAGACTGCAGAGGGGCTGCTCAGTCTGCAAGGGGCTGGATGCTCTCTTGAGCGGCAGGGAGAAGCGAGGACATGGTGCTGCAGGGTCCCCGAGTGGGGTTAGGCTGGAGGTCAGGGTGTGAGGGGCTGGAGCAGACACCCGAGGACTCCCAGTGAAGGCTCAGACTGAGGGATCAGCTGCCGGAGCGGGAATCGGGAGCACCCGATCCCTCACACCCTCCGGCCGAGCACATCCTGGGGCTGGGGCTGGGACAGGCGGTGAGGCCACTTGGATTTCACAATGCTTGGGAAGCGGCAGGCAGGGGAAGGCACGGGGCCACCTGGGAGATGAATTATTGCTGGGATTCCCAGCTGGGGGAACACAGAGGAGACAAAAATAAAACCTGCAGGAGCCCCCCACACGGCTGCGGACACGGCTTTTATTACGTGACACACAACCCTGCAAGAAACCCTCCTGCATTGCCCAACAGCTGCGTCCCACCGCATCCCATCACATCCCACCTGGGATGGTGAAGCCAGCCCCGCTCTGCTCCCAGGGACACACGTCCCCACTCAGTCCTCACCACGGGCTCCCGAGGGGGCTGAGGACAGACACTGCTGCCCTAGAAAAAAAAAAAAAAGAAGAAGCAAGCACCAAGCTAAAAATATCCAAGAGCAGAAATGCTCTGCCTGGGGCAGGCTCAAGCCCTGAGCCCTGCTCTCAGCTGGAGTTAAAATCCAAACCAGAAATAAAACGGCATCGGTTTTAAAACTCAAAACCCCAAGTTCCTCGTGGGTCCCCTCCGTCCCGTTGGTGCGAGGCCCTGGGAGGTGAGCAGGTATCAGCAGCGGGGAGCAGGTGCAGCCCGGGATGCTCACTTCTCCGAGCTCGGTCTCTTGAGCAGGGCGCTGTATTTGAGCGGGATGCTGTCCGACGTCAGCACGACCTCCACCAGCGTGAAAATGCTGATCACCTTCAGCAAGGGAGAGAAAGATGGAGAGAAGAGGATTTTTCAGGTGGCTTGGTATCACACCAGAACTTGCTTAGAGCCGCGCTGGCTTCTGCTGCCTCCGTTGCAGCACCCATGGGGAGCTGAGGAATGGGGCAGGATGGCTTCTGACAGCTCTGCTGGGGTGCAGGGTGCTCCTGGGGCTGGGGCTGGATGCAGCATCTTCAAGGGCAACACCACTGGGCTGTGAAGCCAGCCAGGGAACCCAAACTGACCTAAATGAGCCTCCCAAAACATCCTCAGTTATTCCAGCCCCAGCAGGCCCCAGCCTTGCTCTCCGCACAGTCCAGGAAGGAGCGTGGGTGACTGCACCTTGACTTTGGGTCCTAACCTGCCCTAAAGCCCACCCGTGTCTCCCTTCTCCAGCCGGAGAACACACATCGTCCCTTAATGAAGCAACTTGGCCAAGCACCAACGGTGAGCTGCAGCGAGATGGGTTTTCCACATGATGCCGAGCGTTTTCCTAGCATCTCATCCCCCAAGGAGGAAACAACCCCCCCTTGCCCCCACCGCGAGAGGAGACCCAGGAAGGAAGCATGATGGATGACAGAGATGCAAGGGAATAAAGACCCCAGAAAATCAATCCCTCCTGTTCAGGAACGTGCCACTGCCAGCTGCCATCTCCCCGGTCTCTGACTCCCATCTCTCGTGCAATTGTGCAGATCAGAAGCGTAAAGCATCAGTCGGGTCTGTCCATGAGGCACGGTTAATGGGCTTGCTGGGACATGGGAAAGGGGCTGCCCTGGGCCCATAGCCAGATATCTGGGGACTTCGCTTGCTGGAGCCCGTCCCCAGGCCCTGCAGTGCAGCAGGGCTCGATGGGGCCATCTGCTCGGGGCTGGCCCGCAGGAGGAGCAGGCACAGAGCCACCGGCATAACCTTGTAAAA